TTTAAATTCATCATTCTTTTTACAGAATCTAAATTAACGTGACCCAAACGACAATGCCATAAACAAGAAGAATCACAATTCTCAGATATATAATTTAATTCCAAATAATCAACCACAATCTTAAAAAGTCCATCTGACAAGTAACCCTTGCCAATAAAAAGTCCACCAAATAAAATTACAACTTTATTTAATTTAAAAGACAATTCATAACCCTCCCTAACTAGAATGGAACCACTAACAATGTTCCTTCTAATTTCGGGGAACGTGATGCACTCTATGCAAAGTAAGAATTTTTCCCGAAGGGAATTTTATTTCTACTTTTCCAACTCCATGCACACTAGCAGCACTTGTGTTTCCCATCATCACCGTTCTTCCAACCGCAGGCTGATAAGAAACAAAGAGCGATTTATCAGCACATACATGCACATTCGCTCATGTATCTATTAGCCACTCATTGGAATTATAAATAGTGAAAACTTGAGTGTTAAAAGAAACATACCCATCGGAACTAGTTCCTCCAGTCACCATGTTGACTTGAGGTCCACCAGATTGAGCCTTAGCCTTTTTATTTGGGCACAATTTGGCCCAATGCCCCATCTGTCCACAGTTCCAGCATGGACGGTTTGCCTTTGGTTTCTTTATAATTTTTAGTTTGGCCTGTATTGGTTTAAAAGATGATGGTTGTTTATTTTTAGAATTTTGTGACTGTTTTCCCCCGGTCAACACATGAGCCTTTGGCTGAAATTCAACCGGCGCAACATAACCTGCTTTCTTATGTTCCTCCTCAACAGTAATGGAATGCATCAAAGATTTCCAGGTGATCTTTTTCATCTTATGTTTTAAAGTCATACCAAAATCTTCCCATGATTTGGGAAATTTTTCTATGACCGACATCACTTTAAATTTTTCAGGCAATTCCATATCCGCTTCACGAAGAGAATGTAAGATAAGCTCAAATTCTTGTGTCTGTTCTAACACCGATTTACCTTCTTTCATGTCAAATCGTAGGAATTTAGAAACAATATACTTTTCAAGACCGTGGTCCTCAGTATTATATTTCTTATCCAACTCATCCCAAAGGTCCTTAGCCGTGCCGTGGAGGGTGCAATAGACATCAAATAACATGTTGGAGAGACCCAACAAAATTATGTCTTTTGCAATTTCATCCCTCTCACGCCATGAAGCTTGGCGTTCAAGACTTTTGGGATCCGATTCAACAACGGGGGGACACACCGTCATAATTACCGAGAGCAAGCCATTGGTGATTAACCAAATTTTCATGCGTTGTAGCCAACGCTTGAAAAAATGCCCAGAAAAATTTTCCGGCATTCCGGTTAAATCAACCTTGTGCGAGCCCGTAGCAACATACTCAGATGTGTCTCCAGTATTAGTCACAGACATAGAATTAACATTATTTTGAGGGATATCATTCACATCATTCTCATTCTCAACAACATTTTCGGAAACAACTGCATTTTCCAAGTTTGCCATTTTTGGATTTTCCAAAACTCGAGAAATAATATCTTTCTTCAAGATTGTTAGAAAAATGATATTATAAGTGCGAGTTTTAACCAGATAAAAATCCCGAGTTTAAATCAAATCACCAGACAAACCGCCAAATGCAAGAAATAATAATAATAATAATAATAATAATAATAATTAGAATAAACTAAAAAGAATAAAGAGTAAAAATAAGAAAACTTATCGCAGGATCGCCCGCAAAAATGGACTGGCCTTGAAGAAAGATAGCCCCCGTATCCCGATAGCTATTCGGACAGGTCTGGCTAGCTCGCTCCCAGGATAATCCTACCACGTTTCAGGCTTGTATCTACCTTGACTGAAACCTTCGACCGTTGCCAAAATTCCGATTAAAGAGATAAGGATTCAAGAGTAAGAATAAACCCTTCCGAGTTGAATACGAAAGGGAGTATATTTCGTGAAATAAGCTGAAAGATTCCAAAAGGGAAAAACAAAAGCAAATAACTTGCACAACTACTTTTACTACGTAAGTGGATGAAGAGATTAGGAGAGATCAATTTTTTTTTGGTGCGTTCGTGGGAGATCATGCAAGTAGTGAGTTATATACTCACTTTGGAAATCAGGTACATCAATAATTCATATTCAATGAAATTGAATTCACAAAAGTGGCAACGCTCATCCAAATAATTAAGTACGCCAGTTACGATCCTAATGGTTTGGATCAATAATTGCTTTACTTAACCGGCCATGCAGCCTAATAATTTCGAAATTCAAACTTCGAATTTATTATTCCATTTGAATGCATTTGAAATTTAATTGTCCAGACATCCTAATTACATGGTCCTTATACTTGATACATTTCTTTAATCGTTCATACCCGAGCAGGCATACACGTATTACGTAATATATCAAGTAACCTTATATGATACTTAAACAATGTTCCTTATCATATAATATTTTATAAAAACCAATTTTCTCCTTTAATAAAAGTAGGACAATGGGACAATAATATACTGATACACCACTTCACAATTTTTACAACTATGGATTCTAAAAAAAAATAGATATCCAAATATATAAATTGTACTTTGATGTATGATAAACCACTTCTAACTTATCATCATATTTCCAACAGTATTTAGGATTACATGTGGATTATAAAGTCATTGAAAGCTTTTGTATTTTGCAAATGAGTAACGATCAATATACCTTTTTTTAAATAAAAATAAAATAAAAAGCTACTCAGTCGCCTTGCTGCCTGTCGAAGATCTCTACTGCGCAGTAAGCAACAACAGCCTAGATGGTGGAAATAGTCTCTTTCGAACGACTCATAGTACGTACGCAGCGTCACAGCCTCTTTGTCACTTTGTCTTGCCGTAGTCTACCTTGTCGGAGATCAGATATTTAGGATCGCAGCAAGTCCTTGCCTTGTCGAAGACCTTCCCTTTCTCGATATGTGCCCTCCATGATTCCCGGGCTGGTTCCGCCCATGGAACATGAAACACTTATATAGTCCCTTATCATCAAGGTGACTTTTGTAACGGAAACCGTTACAAATAGTTCGCCATTATTACACCACTTGTGAGACATTAATTTGATTAATTCAAAATAATTTAAATTTCAAGTGTAGGCTTAGTTCGCTATTATTTCGCGATTATTAAAGCTGTGTATTCCATGATTGGTTGTCATTCTTGGGTGTTTTATGCTCCTTATTGAGTTTATGATTCATGCTTTAAACTATGATTTGATTAATGATAGTTGAGGTTATTTCCTTCAAACTTTGGAACAATCATTGAAAGATTATAATTTTTTTTCACTTATGTTTTGGTATAAGTGTACCACCCACCTTTTTTTTAAATCCACAACAGTTGATGATCAAACAACAAAACAAAAATTCCACTAGACAGCATTCAGTCTCTAATGCAAGATGGCTCAAATGCAAGGATCTCAATTCTTCTTTTCACCACCTCCACCAGCCCTCATTTTACGGAGAACACTGGACATCTCCTCTCTTTCGCTTGGCCCTCTTGTGAGTGCCCAACTTTCTCTTGGCTACCTTAAGAGCTCTCTTGTCCTTGCCAACATTGAGAAGCTCAGTAATCCTCTTCTCATATGGTGCAAAACCTAGCAACCTCCCTGATAAGGTTCCTCACGAAATGTACCATTTTACTTGTTTTGCCTTTTCTGTCAGAAGGTTTAGGAGCAAGCTCCTTCGGTGCCACTACTCGTCTGCTTTGGAGGCATTTCCTCGAGATATTAGAGGAACGGCGGAGACGGCGTTGAAGAGGATGGAGCTGGAAACGGCGGAGAGAGTCTGGCTGAGAGGTGTACCACCCACCTATGTTGCACGGATACGGATACGCCGATACGCGAATACGGGTACGGCGATACGACAACTTCAAAAATTATAGGATACAGGTACGGGGGCGATATATCTATAAACAACAACAACAACAACAACAACAACAATAATAATAATAATAATAATAATAATAATAATACTAATAATAATAATAATAATAATAATATAGGGTATAATTTGCAAATATATATCATTCAGAGATTCATAAACAAAATAATAACAGTACCAAAAATTAACATAAGCTAAAGTACTAATATTTCGATTTAAATTCAAATAATATTTTTGTTTCTTTATTTGCATTTACATCTAATCCTTTTAACAAGACTGATTTCAATTAATGTTCATCAAGCGACAAATTGGTAAATTATAGCATTCCAGTTTTTTTTATACTCCCGAAATCATCTCTACTAATGTTCCACATCTTGTGGTCCATTGGGCGGCTACTAAATTTTCGTCATGTTATGTATGAAATTAGGGTTATAGGGTTAGATAAGTGTATCGGTTCACGGATACGGGCATCGAAAGTATCTTGTATCTATATTTTTAAAAGTAAATCCAATACTTTTATTAAATTACAGATACGGACCCAATATGTACAAGATGCGTATCAATGAATATTGGTATCAGATACGTATCGAATACGCGGATACGACATTGTGGTGAAGCATCAATTCACCATAGATCACCACAATAGTAGGGTGTCACCAATGATACGGAGTGATACCTAGGCGCAATTTCTGTGATGTTTTGTATGCTTTGTTTGTGACAGAGTAGTACTTGGTATTCATAATATCATGTGTTCAACAATATGCATAAAGTGGCAATATTGCGTATAAAGTCAATTGAAAGTCAGGTTAGTAGAAATTGAATAGTAAGCAGTCAACACATGTAATTTGCAATTGTTGGTCCAAAAAGGCGTGGTCTGTGAAACGCCATCAGCATTCAGATTGTGTTGCCGGCTCTTCCTTCTGCTTACGCCTCATCATCTCTTGACCGACCCCATTCTCTTCTTTCTCTCTTCCAAATAAACACTAAATTACATATTAACTCAAAACTTGATTATGGTCTCTGTCATTATTTAAATAAGACTAAATTCCCTAACTAGGAGCTTAACATAGCTAAAGTGCAAAAGTAGGAGTATGATGTTTCGTAAGATTGAATAGGAGTAAAAAATAGATGAATGGACAAAACTACCCTTAATGAAAAGGCTACATGTTTATTGAATGATAAATTACAAAATAGAATAATAAATAAAAGCATATACAACACGAAAGTTCATGCGCACCACAAGTTAACGCCAACTTCAACATCACCTAGACCTGCCGCCGCCGGACATCATCGCTGCCGGTCCCCGCTGTCACCGGATATCACCGGTCTGCCACATGCCATCTTTGCCAATGTCGCCGCCAGTCATCTCTGTTGTTGCCGGTCGCCGGCATCACTATCTCTGTTGCCGCCGGTCATCGTCGCCGCCATCTCCGTTGCCACCACTTACCGGCATCGCCGCCTCATCCACTCCTACCGCCGGATTATGTGTTGCCTCGCTCCGGCCACCTTGTCTATTTTGACTGGAAAAATCCTTTAAATTGCCATTTCATCACTTGAATGACATCATAGTGGCATTCTTATTAAAATATATGAGGATTCATTGTCATTTTGACATTATAAATATTGTATTGGGAGTGTCATATATTGCCATCTGGCGTAGAGTTAGTGCCATATAAATGGCAATATTTGCAAAAATAACAGAGTTATTCCCATATAAATGGCACTATGTGCAAAAATAACATTGTTTATATAAAAATGTCATTATTAATATTGTGTTTGCCATTCTGATGGAGTATCATAAAAAATGGAACTATGTGCCAAAAGAATATTTAATTTATAAATGGAAAAACATGTCATTATTAGTATGTATTTGCAAATTAAAGGAATAATATTTTTCAACTTAATATAAAAAATACAAAAATATGTCAGAAAAAATATTAATCAAGGCCAAATCTCAAAAATTATATTGTGTATTGTAAAATATAAATTAAATTTCAAAAGAACAAAAGCTAAAGCAAAATTGAGAGAGAAAACAGGAAAAGCAATAAAAAAAGAAAAAATAAGACAAATCTGAAAATGAAATAGATCTGGTAAAATAAATCTAGAATGAAATAGATCTAGAAAAAAAGCAAAAAAAAAATCAAATAAAAAGAGAAATCAAATTAAAGTAGCCTAACAGTACGTAATTAGCTTCATCATCCAACATAAAAGCAAAAGAGTTTGCCGCACTGCTGAGCTAATAAAAAAACAGAGAGAAGAGGAAGAAGAAGAATAGGAAGAAAATAAAAACTTACCACTAAGATGAGTGCCGCCGCTCGCCGCTCGTCGGAAATGGAGAAGTTGGAGGAGAAATCTGATCTAAAAAATAAAAATGAATGAAAGTAGATGCGAGAAGAGGGAGATGAAATGAGAGAAGACAGATGTTGTTGCGTCAAGACAGAGAGGGGGCAGAGGGTTTTTGCGTGAGAAATAGAGAAAGTTCTGACACTATGAAAAAACTTAATTAATTGAGGGGTATAATTAACAAATGTAACGGACCAGTCAGTTTAGAGATCCAGAAGAAATCAACAAGAACTCCTATTTTGGAATTTTATCATTGTTTTAGTCCCATTTATTAGGGCAATTACTTTTTAAATAATACTACCTATATAGACTCTGACAGTATCCTTTTTCCCTACATTTCAGTCCCATTAATAAAATAGCTACACTCAATTTATTTTTCCCATCATTTACTAGAACATTAATTAAATTACTAAAAGTAACGTTTTTCTTTAACAAAATTCTGAATAATTATGAAATTAAAAAATACACATTTCAATATTAAAATAAATAAATTTTGTATCTTTTTGGTTTATAATAAATAAAATAGTTTCAGATAAACTTTGATTATTTGGGGGAGCAGCTTAGATTCAAATTTTGTGTTTTGTGTATTTTTCTAGCCTCAAAACTCGAACATTTTAAATTTCATATTTTTTAATAAAAGATTATGGAAAGTAATGCATTTTGATGTACTAGTACTTCCTCCGTCTCTTTTTAGTTGCAACAGTCAACATTTCACGTTTGCCAATACATAATTTTGACCATCATTATATTTAATTATGTATTAGTAAAAATAAAATAAAAATCATATTATAAAACTTAGTAATGAGATGAATTTAACAATATTTTAAAAAAAATGATTCACATACATCAATAAATAAAATGTAGTCAAAGTAAAGTATATGAATAGTGTATATATTCCAATGTTGCAATTAATGGGATACGGAGGGTAGTATATCTTATGAAACTTGTAGTACAGATAAAAAAGTTATAAACCTTAAGAAAGAGTTTTTTTTTTATTTGGGATTATGTCAGCATGACGTCTTTCCCGCATCAGCCTCCTTTGTCTCACCTTTTTTCTTCACCAATTTTCTTGCTTTTTGGCCAGCTATCCTCCCTCCATTTAAACATTCCTTCCCCTTTTCCATTTGTAACCCCCTTTTTTGTCTCCCATTGCATGCAATTAGAAGTCCAAATTAAAAGTTCCACCTTTGGCAATTGATTTATTTATAAATTTTACGCAAAGGTGTTGCATTGCTTTATAAAAAACATCTAAAGTATTTTATCACCCTCATATAAAAGATCTTATATGGTGCAGTGCGACATGTTTTAAAAAATGTCCTACAATTAACATTAAATAGTGAAACCAAACAGTATAAACCTTTAAATCTTTACGTTTAAATAATGAAACCAAACAGTATAAACCTTTAAACCTTTACGTTTAAATAATGAAACCAAACAAGAGAGAGTATTATGTGAATAGTAATCCATTTAAGTATCTTTCCCTTAAAGGCACCAATAGTTTTAAAGATTAATACACGTTCCATCTTGAAAAGGTTCGTCATATTGACTTTTCTTGATCAATGATGACAAACTTTGGACAACGATTTTAATTATTACATTCGAATAAAGCAAAATGGCTCACTAAACTGTCTGCGCTTCTTTGTTATGGAGCAACAGTCATTCCATGCAATTTTGGACGCGATTTTCACTATGGGTCATCCAGAAACACTCTCTGTGCTTTAGTACATGGGTAAGACTGCGTATATCCGACTCCCCTTACTCCACCGTAGATGGGAGCCTTTGCGGCACTGAGGTAAATGAAAATGAATGAAAATGAATGATTCGAATATAATTAATAAATTTTATATTTTTATGAAAATATATTGAATAAGGAACAATTTGATATAATTTTTATATTCAAACTAATTTCGTATTAAAAAATATCATTGGTCAAAATTGATTGTCATTGACCAAGAAAATTCAATTTGGCGAACCTTTTCGGGAGAGATGGGAGTATTAGCTAGGTTGGGGATGGGATTTAGAATATAATCTGAGATGACATTTTCTTTCGAGTGATGAATTTGTAGACGACGCTTTTAACGTATCAACGAAAGGTTGAAATTTGAAATTTAGTGTACGTGCAGCTGCATTTTAATGGGCAACATGAATATGTTTGTTGGCAGAATATTAATTATTCTCCGTATACGAATCAGATTATAAACCATAAAAAGAATGGAGAGTTGAGAATTGAACTTTTTTTAACAAAAGCGACTCAAACACAAATGGAAATAATATTTGACTTCATTTGCAAATGTTCCGTATTGTTTTGCTTTAGAAAATTTGATTCCATCTTTTAGTATGGAGTAATTTAAGAAATATAGCAGGTTTAGTTTCATGAAATTCAGCAACTTTCATTTCAGTTAAATCATTATTAGGTTCCACGGGATTGCTGAATGCTGATATACACAATCATTCGCAGATAAACGAAAATTGAACGTATCCTAGCCTTTTACATGCATAAAGTAAACCAACTTTAAGCAAAAATAAATATCAAAGGAGAATTGATTAATCGATCAAGAAATGAAGAAGTTCAAACAAAAATCAATTGACAAATGATAACAAGGATCGTAATTAGATTATATTACATGATTAATTAATACCAAAGTACGTACGTAATTATAATAGAAGCTAGCGAGCAGTATATATTATACATATAGATTCAAATAAAAACTTCAATTCGTACTACTAATATAATGAGAAAGTAAGCCTACCCATTCATTAATTAATTGATTCAAATAAAAACAGATGAGACTGCACTGATATCTGATCAATTGAAGTAACGAGACAGTTTCTGAGCTCTGATCCTTAGCTTATAATAATATGTTTGTTTGTCCCCTTGAAATTAAACAGGTAGAAGCATGCATGCATGTCACTTTGATCTATTGTCCTATATGTTGCTACCTAATATATAGGTTTTACGCCTGCTTGGTCAAATATATATGGGCTTTGACCTGACACTATTCCGGTTCACCGTGAATTCAAGAACACGGGCCGCCAGTCAGAGCCACAGAGCTCCGGCTTCCTTGAGCAGAGGGACGAGTGTGCCGTTGATGTGGCAAGCCATCACCGTCTCTATCCCGCCTAAAAACTTCCCGCCGACGAACACCGCCGGGACGGCCTGCTGCTGGCCGGAGCCGGCGAGCTTGAGGAGGAGGGCGTAGATTTCTCGTCCGTCGGCGTCGCGGTCGAGCTCCACGATGGTGGGGCCGACCCCGAGGCCGAAGAGGAGCTGTTTGACCACGTGGCACATGCAGCAGCCGCTGAGCGTGAAGATGACCACCGCGTTGCTGGAGGCCAGGAGCCGGACTCGCTCGTAGGTCGACTGCATCATGATCATCCCCTGCCGGCCTTCTCCGCCGCCGGCGTCCACTCCGACTGATTCTTTCACGACCTGCATTGTTATATTGTATATATACGGAGTACGTATATCGATGGATGTTCAGTTGTTCCGATCCCGGCCAATCTGAGCTGCGTACTTGGATGAACTCAAGACGTAGTGATGATGATGATGATCTAATTTAACTTTGTATTACAGGGACATGCATAAACGTACACTCTCCTGGCCAGCTGCTATCTTTCTCTTCCTCTCTCTAAATATGGGTTTGGATAAAAAACAAAAAGACGGGGGGGCGGGAATTTAAAGGCGGATTGAGGAACTAGGTGGCCGGACGGCGTGGGATAGGGTGGTGGGTAGGTTTGGGGGTGGGAGGAGTAGCTAAGTAGCTAGGTAGAGAGTAGATAGGGTGTAGCTGTACCTGGCAGCTGATTCTGACGGCTGGGATCTCCCCTCTTTTGCCCACAGAAAGCAGGTGTAGTACGTTCTCTTCAGCTACTTTATTTTCGCATGCCTTTTCTAGCTCCTCCTCTCTCTTTACTTTTCTCTCTCTATTTTGACTGCAACGTACTCCTTCCGTTCCTATTTTATCTTTCAAATAGGTTTGACACACAATTTAAGATAGTAGGTATTGTGTGGTGGAGAGTTGTGCTGAGGAGAGAAATGTTTAAGAAATGTTGTGAACCACAAATTCTTTACTAAAAAGAGAAAGTGGAAGTTTTTATTGGAACGGACGAAAAAGGAAAGTTGGAAGTTTTAATAGGAACGGAGGAAGTATTTCATTTGTACGTAGACATATAGTACTAGTAGTATACTTAGCATGTATGTTACCATTTTCTTTTGGACTGAAATTTACTAGTTTGGTCGGATGATGCGTTTAGTCTGGTCTGATCTGAGTCTGATAAATGTCTGATATCTGTATATTCCATAACTATGAAAATTTGAACTGATATACTGTGTTTAGACTGATCTGGTTTATTTAAATATAATTTGATTTGATTTGGTCCGGTCTAATATTAGATCGAAACCAGTCCAAAAAAAAACTTCCTTAGCCTGGCCACATCCATGTTTGATTATGGGGAAATTTCAACAATTAGGACATAATCTTGCTACTTTTTCAAAATTAAGACTACGCACTTGTAAGACCTAAGTACATCTAATTTGACCAAATTGCTCTTTCTTTTGAATACCCATGCGCATCAAACAAGCTTCATCGGCGACGGCTTCTCCTCTCACGATTCATCTAACAAACATCTTCGATCTAGGCCAACATCACCGCTGCGGATTTCACCATTACCGATGTCGAAATCACCGCCGCCGACGCACCAGATAGCTGCTGCAATTGACTCCATTAGACGCCACCACCGAAGGTTTGTTCTTCTTCCACCTCTTCTTCATCTTCTTCTTCTTCTTCTTCTGATTTTCTAATTTTGGTCTTGATTTTTTTGTTAATTTCGAACTTCTATTTCATATTTTCACAAGGCCACCAGGTACTCTGCAAAACTTTTGAAAAAACCAGATCCAAAAGAAAACTTGCAAACACTAGACAATACATACACAGTAAGTAGTCAATAAACAGACAATAAGTTCTAATAATAGCACAATAGCAGACAATATAAAGACAATAAGTAGGCATTAAACAAAAAATAAGTTCTGATAATAGCTCAAAAGCAAAGCGGGTAACGTAAAGCTGGGAGGACATTGAACTTGACCTTAAAATTGGGAGGAATGGGCTTATTACAATCATCTGAGGGAGGATATTGAACTCAATTTCATGGAAATAGGTGGAATAGGAGAGGGGTCGCTGGAATCCGAATAGGAAGGGTAAGAGTAGTTCTCCATGGTCGTGATTGTTGTGGGTTGAAATTTTGGCCTTTGTGTGTGTGTTTAGGGTTCCGGTGATGATGAGCGACGAACTCTGTGATGGCGATGAACAACGGCGAACTTAGTTGTGACCTGCGATGAAGAGTCGATTTCTCTGGTGCGTGTTCTCCGTTGTTGACCTGCAGTGAAGAAGGGTGCTAATGGAAAGCAATAATAATGTTTCCTAAAGTAATACTATATAACTCTTACAGATGGGAAAAAGATAATTAAGTCCTCCTTTTGTAAAGATGGTATGTTTTGATCTTATGAACAACAATTTTCTCTTGATTATGTGAGCGGATCAACCACTTAATTCGTTGCGTTTAGATTTTATTTAACTAATTATTTCTTTCTCACTTTTTGAGAATATCGTCCCTTTTTTAATTTTACTACCTTAGATTTTCTTTTTGCCTATTGGTACTTCTCTTCTTTTTAGAGTATATTATCTGAAATAGGACTAAAACAATTTGAAAATTTCAAAATAGGACTGTTATGTTTTTATTCCCGAAATATGACTAGTTACTACCATGTTTTGGCAGTACCAGACTTCAAACATGGCAGTACTTTCTAAACATCACAGTAATTAGTCCTATTTTGGGAATAAAAAACATGATAGTCCTATTTTGGAATTTTCAAACTGTTTTAGTCCTATTTCGGGAACTTTCCATTCTTTTTACTGTGTTAGAACAATATAACTACTCCTATATGCATGCAACAAACATGAATTGGTTGTAGTCCTATAGAGAACAACTATGATCGAAATAAGAGGAGTCTTAACAATTTGAAAATTCTAAAATAAGACTATCATGTTTTTATTCCCAAAATATGACTAATTACTGTCACGTTTTGGCAGTACCAGACTTCTAACATGACAGTATTTTCTAAAAATGACATTAATTAGTCATATTTTGATAATAAAAAACATGACACTCCTATTTTGGAATTTTCAAACTGTTTTAATCCTATTTCGGGAACTTTCCATTCTTTTTACTGTGTTAGAACAATATAACTACTCCTATATGCATGCAACAAACATGAATTGGTTGTAGTCCTATAGAGAACAACTATGCTCGAAATAAGAGGAGTCTTAACAATTTTTTCCTCTTGTGTTATCACCAGTAGAAAACAGGCTTATAGTGACACTTTGTTAGTGACATTTTTTAATAAAGTGTCACGAAAATATGACATATCTTTTTTACGATGTATGTGTGTCATTAGTTTCTGACACAATAGTATCAATATCAGATAGTGACGTTCGCACCCTATTTTAATTTCTTTTAACATTATTTTGTCATATTTTAACACCTAATAAATTTTAACAACTTTCTCTCTTCATTCGAAGAACCCTAACACTCTTAGCAAAGAGTCTTCAAGACTCTTTCTCTCTTCATTCACTCTTTCTCGTCCTCCCGATGCCTGCCCGGCATCCATTGCCGCCGGCGGAGGGAATCGGGCCCCGTGGAAGCCAAGAAGACGTCCTCTTACGCAACGGTGGTAAGGGAATCAGTCCCTGGCCATCGCCCGCACACCCAAAAGTGCTCCTTCTCCGACACGGGTAATATATTTTAAATGTAATTTTTTTCATAAATCGGCAGAATCAGCCACTTCGGCCAAAACTTCATAAATTTCAGCAGAATCAGACAATGCAGCCGATTTGGGTTTGGAGTATCATTTTAAAATTCATTTGTGAAATAAATAATATTACATTCGGCACATTTTATTTTTAACGGAAAATGAAAACTAATAATCTCACATTTTAACAATCTTCTTACAATAGTTCCATCTAACCGTAATTTAACAATAATCCCACATTTGCATCCTATCTTCTTACATTGATCCTGTTGATGACCTACTATTCCAGGTTATTTACTTTCTTTTCAAATCATTAAATCATAAATTTTACCTGCTACAAATCTTCTCAAAACAGTCCTCATGGCCACATAAGTTTTTTATTTTTTGTTCCTAATATTTTCTCTCTTTTTTTCTTTATCATCACAATGCCTTATTATTCCATTTTCTTCTTTTTCCTTTTCATTTATTTACCTTATTTATGTATTCTTTTATCCATTTACCATAAGAGTTTTTTTATAGAATTTTATTTCGCTAGTTTTTCTTTTTTTTTCTTTTCCTCCATTTCTATTTTCTTTCCTTTTTATATATGTGTTCCTATTCGTTGTAGTCTCTTTTTATAATTTTTTCCGGCTACTTGTTTATATTTTTTCTTTGAATTTTCTGAAAAGAGATAAATATATAAGCGGTGGAATGGGAGTAAAAAGAAAGTAACGTAACAAATTAGTAGGGTGACAAAAAGATCTTTTATAAGAAAGGAACTTATATAAAAAAATACATAAAAATGGAAATGATATAATAAACGGGAAGAAAAAAGAGGAAAAATGGAATACATAAACATGGACAAGAAATAAAAATAAGAATAACAAGATGAATAAATGGAATAAAAGCTAGAGTCACGAGGATAAAAAAGAAATATGATACATGAGACCGCTTGGAGAAGATTTTTGAAAGGTGTGATTAATGATTTAATGTTTTGCAAAGAAAAGAAAATAACCTAGAATAATATGTCATCAACCAGTCAGGGACCCATGAAAAAATGGAGTGCAAAGATTGGATCATTCCAGAATTACGGTTAGATGGAACTATAGAAATTGCCCTAAATAGGAGCAAAAGCGTTTTGAAATTCCAAAATAGGAGTATCATGTTTTTTATTCCCTGAACATGAGTAATCTGCCATGTTTGGAAGAAAATGTCATGTTTAAAGCTTAGTAATGCCAAACTTGGCAGAAATTTACTTCTATTCAGGGAATAAAAAACCTGATAGTCCAATTTTGGTATTTCAAAACTTTTTTATTACTCCTATTTAGGAAATTCTCTCATGAAACTATTGTAAGAAGATCGCTAAAAGATATGATTATTAGTTTCCATTTGCCCTATTTTTAATTGCATCCTCATAATTTTTTTTGTATTTTATATTGTGCATATAACTCCATAAATTACATTTGTGGAAAAATACATGATCATGGTGCTAACATATAACTATTTATATAAAATTTGGGATACACACACACACACATATACCATACGAGGAGGGTTCTAGTGAGAACTCATCTTAAAATGAGAACTTGTTATAATGAAAATTTTTTTTTGTTGAGAAAATCAACTTATCTTGTATTAATCAAGTCATGGTTCAAATAACACAAAATACAATATGGAGGATAATCAATCCAAACATTCAAATAAGACATAGAACCCCGAACATTAGCAAGAGTATGTGCTACTTGATTCGCTGATCGTTTCACATGATTAAAACTGATATCATTAAAGTATTAGCTATCTCTCGAATGTCGTCCACTAGAACTCCAAAAGAAGAATCATCACTTCTGCCCTTGATTAAAT